CGGCGTAGATGGAACCAACCAGTCGGAATGGGAGGAACGGAAAGGAACCGAATTTGTCGCTTTTGATGGACTTGGTTGGGTCTTGCTTGAGTCGAGGGAGTTGGCAGACGCCCTCGTGTCCACGGCCGGATACCAAGGGGCAATTAGAGTTGACTTTATATACTTCAACCTGAATGAGCTTCATGCTCGTCCTGCACCCGTCTCCCTCCCTGCCCCCGGCGCGGGGCGGCATGGCCGGTACATCGTGAGGTACTTCACTCTCCGAGAAACGGGGACTAGCCTTGCCAGAAGCTAAAGCCGCGATTGGGATGTGACTGGCAAGCAGGCAGGCGCGGGCGCGGGCGCGCGGGCGGGCAGGCAGGCAGGCAGGCAGACAGACAATGCGGGCATGACAGGGCAGGGTGTGCTGCTAAGCTGATCGGAGGGGAAAGAGCGGAAGATGGAGAGCAGGACGGGTGGACGAGGAAAAAAATTTGCGAATGATGAGATGGACGAGCATGAGGGGGGACCCTGTCGAAGGGGCATGGTGAATGGTGGGAATCCGCTGCGAAGCCCGTGTGTACCTGTCAGCCAGCCAGACAGGCGCGCTTCAGGCACGTGTGGTGACAGCTGCTGTCTAGTGGAGTGTTGACGATGCATCGCGACTACCGCCCTGCTGGTTCCTGGCCACTTCTGACCACTTCTGACCACTTCTGATCACCTCTCACCACCCTGCTAACTGGGCCACGGATGATCCCCCCCCTCCTTCGTCCTCACAGACGGGCAGGCGTTTCAGTCCCTTGGCCGTTCAAACCCCACGGCATTGTCTCGCAGGCCGAATGGGCCGTTCACAAGCGTGGGGTTGCTGCAGCTGATCACAAGTCACTGCAGTCATGTTGAGCAAGTAGCATCGAGCCCCTTCTGAAGTCTTTGCCTACGGGTACCTTGGGTACATGACATCGAACAGGCGAGGTCACGCCCCTCAGACCAGAGGCTCCCCGGAAGGTGGGCCGTGCCTCGGACATTCAACGTCACCCCACGAACAGGCGTGGGCAGACTTGCATCTGCTCCATTCGTTCATGTTCGCGACAAATCTCCAACAGTCATTTACTCATTCGAAAACTCACACTTCAAAATCTGGGCTCTTCTTTGGTTCCAACTATTCCTCGAAGAATGCCTCCTGAATATGTGGTGACGTGACGATCCTCATAAATGGGTCACGTGTGAGTAAAAATATTCCCTGAAGCTTGACAGTCCCTCGGATAGCTGGTTCAAACACCTTGAAAACGGTTCGTGAATTTCGGACTGTATGTGAAGCGACCCGGAAATGTTCAGAGAGGCGCAGGAAGAGGGCGTCAATCGGAACTTCCACACATTCATCGTAGGACCTGACGAATGACATACTTCTCTCGTCGCGTATTCCAATTTTCAAACCTGGCTCCTGTTGTCTTCCATGTCTTTTCCTCGAGCCATCGCCTTCACACGATCCTTACGCTTGATGGGGGTTATTTTGCAAAGTCGACAGTGCACCATCGCTCCTTAAGCGGTCAACGTCATGCATAATAGGAGCCAGCAGCCTCGGCTTCAACGGTGGGTTTTTTACACTGACCTGTATCACAAGAGGCCAGACTGTCTTTTAGAGATCATTCATTCATCAATGATTTCTTGACTCTATCAGTCTGCTCGGCTCTCCATATTGCTGGCACTTGTCATGTACAGCATCTTCTAGAAATACGCAAGACAGTAAGGTATATCCGTCAAGGGGTTCACGTAATGGTCAGCGGCGGTGGCTCGTTTGTATTCAAGAGCTTACAAAATCAGCCTGATGATGTTTCCCCATGTCAGTTGCAAAGGTTTACCAGCCGCCGGATAAACCAATTCCTCCTGTACGAGACGCAACTCAATCTCTTCGTGGCCAAGTTGTCGAAGCGACGATAGCACTGCAAGCCATACAGCATCCACTGAGATCCTGATCTTCCGATTTCTTGCCTGAACTCGTTGATGTTTCCTCATCGATACCTTATGAGCTTCGCCGCTTGCTGGTGTTGTTGTCAGTGGCCAACACGCCTTATTGGGTATGTTCTGGAATCCTTCAGCTACAGGCAGAACGAGCAAAGCGCGACGATATCGAGAACTCGAAGTCGGCACTATACAATTTGTACCCCTAGCCCGCCTGCCATGATAGATCCCAATCTGTGGTCTGGATTATCATGCAACAAACCGAGTTCTCCACCAGTCAACGGTGAATACGCATCCCAATATGAGAGTTGCCGTGACTTCCTCAGCAGGCAGAGCGCATTGGTAATATTAGAAGCGATGCTATCCTGGCTGCCCTTTTGCAACTCACCTCGTGATTTTCGTTTTCACCATCCATCAAGGAAAGACTGCAGCCAAAGTCAAGAATGGGCCTTATCTCCTGACGTGGCCTGCCCTTCTATCACCCATTGTCCTTTCTTTGATTTTAAGTGCCCGACAACGCGTTCACAGACACACACAGACACACGAGTATCAACTTTCGTCTGTACTGTCAAGACTAATTTGCATCACCATGGAAAGGAGACAGGAAAACAGAACGCAGGAAGGTACAGAACTTTGGATGAACTCTCATGAATAGCTGTTGACAACGCGGCGTAGGGGCCCCAAGCGCCCTTAATTCCCAACCGCGCCCTGTTCGACTCCTATGACGAGGCGCATCGTACGATCGCTCGGTATCCAGTTTTCCTCGAAGATGTCCTTGATGAAGAGTTCATATTTTCGTCGTTTGCTTACGAAAGGACCATGACCAGTCCCCACGGGGTTCTTGAGGAGAAGACCCAGCCTCAAACCACGCCCGCCAAGGAAAGCAGGGCTTCAGGCAAGGAGAATTCCCCGCAAGCCACAAAGACAGAGGAAGGGCCAACACCTCATTACGATGACATCAAAAAGAGAAGTGCTGCACAGTCGGGGTTTGAGGTCACACCTCTTTCTGGTCGTGGGAGTATGCAGCCTCTGGGCGATGCCTGCGCCCCTTCCCCCATTCTACCCACTCTGCCACTGCGCCGTGAGGGAAAAGACAAACCCCAGAGTTTCAGTCAGGTTGCCGAAAAAACTGATATTCAAGATGACAAGCTCCATGCTCTGGCCAAGGGCAGAAAGAGAGATTTCAGCACCGGAGGAAATAGTGATCCTGGCGATCCCTTTGGAGGCTTCAAGACTAACTCTGACCACTCGATCTCCGACATTTACGATGGGTTTGAAACAGACAGAAAGTACAGCTTCCTCTGCAGTCCTGCGGAGAAAGAGGTCTCGTCTGCTCTTCGTGAGGTCATTGGAATCAGTCAGCCCTCGTCTGGCCAGCTTCTCCGATTCCGAGATGATCGTACTCCGTCAACACCTGCCTTTGATACCGCAAAGTTTGCCAGCAGACTGCGAGAGGAAAAGCGAAAACAAGCGGAGCGCAACAAGCAAGGTGGAGGCTTTTACAATAGCTCAGCAATCGACTCGGCCTGGCACATGTCGGAGACTGAGATCAAGATACCCACGTCGCCGTTTCCCATTCACTCCAGCGACCTCGATACGCCTGAGACTGAGGAGCCCTGGAGTCATATTGACCTGAGAGATGGCGGCAACGATTCACCGTGGACTGCGATGCCCGCTACCTCGAGCGTAGCGGGTCATGCCCAAGATTGGGTCACAGTCTCAGAGGAGCAACAAGACGATCCCCTACGCACCCCTGTTGTCTCTATGGGCAGGGTGCTCACTGGAAGTAGCGTTGCCAACTACTCGGATCATGTCCTTATTGCCAAAAGGCCAGAAAGTATTCCTATTCATGACCCCAGAGCCATTAACCCTAACCTCATGCCTTGGTGGGACAAGCTACCAAGCGCAGGAAAACCATCTCAGGTATCTCCCACAGGGCCACCAACCCACAGTGATGGTAAAAAGCCCGTCTCTATCACACGGCAGGGTGATTTAGTACCCCTATTTGTGATTTCAGTTCTTTCCCCGGCTGACCAATACGCAGACTCTTGCCAATCGGGACTCTTTCCATTCAACCCTTGTGGTGTCCAGGGAGCTTTGAGCAAACTCTCCAGCACCGGACGACAGTCAAAGTACGAGCGCTTTGATGACCAACAAGGGCTTGAGATGCAGCCGCTGCCAACGGAGAAGAACAAGTCTTCACGCAATCCCTTTCGCCGCGGGCAGCCCCGCCCAATTACGTCGTCAACTCAGACAGCGCCAGACGACAACTCGCAGGCTCCACTGTTCGCAGCTCGGCCGCTGAGCAACTACGAGCACCTCCATTTCCCCCTGGTGGCCCTACAGGATGCGCAGCGCATCCAGGGGTACCGCCGTGCGAGCGGCCTCGAAGACCAGACCACGTCTGGCAGGTCCGTCAGGTACCAGCCCATGGTGGCCCGCAGCTCGCAGCGCACGCTTCTCCTGACGCCTCCTCCCCGCACCTATGTGCGAACATCGTCTCTCTACAGCACTGACCTGCCAAACCCGAGTCTGCACGGCGGCGAGACAGCACGCTCCTCCTGTACGTTGAGTCCTCGCAGTCATTCTCGTGCCTTCCGTATTAACAGCTTCCCAGACTACGGCAACCCCTTGCGCCAGAACCCAGCCATGGTCTCTGGCATGATTTCAGGCAGCCCATCTAAGCGCAGGCCTGGAAACCCAGCCGCAGATCGCCTCTCCCGTCACAGCGCACACCTGACCGGCGGCCTGCGCCCGCGGCCCCACCTCACGACGCGCAGCATGACGCGCCGGTACCAGGAGGGGACCGATCCAGAGCTGGGCCGTCTCGCAGGCAGCGAGGGCAGCCACCGGCGCCACAGGTCGCTGCCTCTCTCGCCCGAGGCCACAGAAGCGGCAGACGTTCTTCTTCCTGCTGACGGTCGTCATCAACGTGTCCCTGCCGTTCTGGGGGCCTGACCGAGCTGTATAGGCAAGATGGACTCAGCCGTGTCGTGGTGCACAAAGGGGGAGGCGTACGGCCTCGCGGAGCGGCACAGGGGCTAGATCCGCCTGCAGCTCTTTGTCGAGAGCGTTTCGTACGTGACGCTGGGGGTTCTGCTGGCGATGTTCCTTCCGCGGAACTAAGCGCGAAGTGGCAGCGCACATCCCCCCTTGAAGAAGGGGGCGTTGGATCATGTGGGAGTCGGTGGTTTGTGGTTTTATTTTCTTGCTTTTTCTTGCTTTTTCGTGCTTTTCGTGCTTTGTTGTGGTCATTTCTCTCTTTTCTTCCCAGTCTCCGTCTAGACTATGATGGATATCGTACGCAACTGTTTTTGGCTTCGTTGAGAAGGGGCCCTCGGCCTCATCGGGCTGCAAAGTGGAAAGGGAGGGCTGGAAATTGTTACTGCTTGGAAGTCGAGACCAGGACTCGTTGGCCACGGTTGTGAAAAGAAGCCTGAGTCAGGAAAAGTCAGCTCCGGGAGAGTATATGAACATGCAGAGTTCATGTTCTGCAGCAGCGTTGTCCTCTTTGCTGCCATGCTGTTATCGATGCTGCGTCTGCACACTTGTTAGAATAAAGGCCAGACGACAGAGCTTCACTGCAGGTAGAAGAAACCAAAGAGAGCAAACACAGAAATCACACAAGAGAGACAAGCGTGCCAGGGCAGAAATTGGTAGCTGCATTAAATTATTAAAAAACCCTGTCTAACAAACGACATGCGCCCTGCTGACCACCCTCCCAGCTTGCTGCGGTGGTTTGTCCCTTCAGCCCCGTCGGCGGGTCGAGGGTCCCTTCTTCGTGGGCGTCGCGCTCGCGGAGCCCGCAGGCGAGGGCGTGGCGGCCGCAGCGTACGAGACGGGGTCGGCCTTGCGCTTGCCCTTGGCCTTGGCCGAAGGGGCGTTCCAGTAGTACACCATCTGGGTCGCGAGGACGGCGTTGAGGGCGAAGCCGGCGATGAAGCCGTAGAGGATGAGCTTGTCGTCGACCTCCTGGAGGGTGGTGAAGATGCGCGTCAGAGAGCCGACGAGGTAGTTGAAGACCTGCGCGCGCAACATGGTTAGCACGGCGACACACACGTGGGGAATCAGGGCGAAAGGGGGGGGGGGAGGAGACGAAAGGGGTCGAGGGTCGTGAACATACAGTGAAGGCGCTCAGCTGGCCGGTGCCGCCCTCCTGCCAGATGGCGAGGATCTGGGGGATCTTGCTCGCGACGCCGACGACGCCGGCGCCGGCCTGGAGGACCGAGAGCTGCTCCATGCCCACGAACTGATCCGTGAAGAGGCTGCCAAAGGCGACGGCCAGGGCGCTGACGAAGATGGCGGCGAGAGGCGCGCGGCCGGCATAGTTGAGAACGAGAACGGTGATGACGACGTTCTGGGCGGCGATGAGGGCTGTCTCGCCGTACGTGCTGAAGGGGAAGCCGTTGCGGTAGTTGTAGGCCAGCGAAACGACGTAGGCGGCCGTCTCGAGGGCGTAGGAGAGGACGGAGACGCCGGCGGGGGACTTGGAGGAGACGAGCTTCAGGATCTGCGGCACCTTGACGATGGAGGCGGCGGCGACAATGGCGAGGCCAAGGGCCTTAGAGACGGCGAGTTTCAGGCAGACGTCATCGGTGAGGGTAATGTCGCGAACGAGTGAGGTGTGGCACTGCTCGCCGAGGAGGGAGAGGGCGAGGTCATTGATGGGACCCGGAAGATTGTGTGTAATGGGTTGGAGGAGCGGGCGAAGAGTTTCCTGGAGGGCGTCCATTCTGGCGAAGGTTCTGCTGGAGAGCTGGAGAGTGTGGGGGAAGCGTCAGGAAGGGGAGGAGAAGCAGAGTAAAGGAATGGCGTTGTGCGCGCGCTGGGCTGTTGGATAGTGAAGCTGTGGCTTGACAGGGGAAAGGTTCTGGAAACTCAGTCGCGACACGTTGAAAGAAAGAACTGAGGAAGAGCTTGGGCCAATCGGCTGTTTTTAGAGAGAGGGGCAGGGGTTGTGAGTACTTGTAGGGGACTGATCGAGCCCGTCTTATTCCCATCACCAACGTCGAGACCCTGTGGCTTGTGAACCACAGCATATACCGACAATTCACTCCCATTTATTGACGTTTCATTGCTCCTAGGATCACGCCCATCTACCAGAACTCCTGTGGCACTCCCTCCATTCTTGACGCCGCTGCGAGCATCTATCTGAAGGCGTTACTAAGACGCCTCAGCGAGCATTCTCAATAAGCCATTTTCAGGTGCCTCAAAACGATCGAAAAACCGGATCTCTCAAACGCAACAGCGTCCCTGCAGCCAGAGCCTGTGTTAAGATAATATCTGCCCATGAACGAATGCCCTTTCCCCAACACTTTTCTTCCGGTGGCTGATCATGAACTGTGTACTGTTCATTCCTTATCTTTTGGACTTCTGCGTCTTCTTGTCACGCTGTTGAAAGGCGGTGATGATATCCTTGCACTTGGACAGACTGGCGCGGGGCTCCCAAGTGTTCTGACTCGCTGGAAAGCCCTTCCACTTGACTTGATAGTAGTGGACGCCTCCTTTGCGGTCAATGAGAGAGTCCTCGATTGACTCAACCTCCCATTCCTGCTCGGCGCCCTGTCCGCGTTTCATGGACGTCTTGGCCTTCGAAGGTCGTCCTCGACGCTTGTGTACCTTCGAAGCGGTAGATTGAGGTGTAGGCAATTTGTTTCCGGTAGACTTTTGGGGAGTAGTCTGAGTGAATCTCACTGGCGAAGATCCCTTAGCCCTCTTAACAGTCTTTGCCTTGGTCACAGGGTCACTGCCACTGGCAGAGGGATGGAGCCGGGACGAGCGGCGGGGCTTCGAAGAGTCTTAATAATCGCGTGAGCATTGTGCGGGATCGTGAAAGGTCAGTTGACTCGAAACCTACCAGTCGAGCTGCTCGCACGTTTCTTCTCGGCGATGGGCCTTGCCATCACGCTTGAATACTGGTCTTTCTTGCGAGGGCGGGCCTCGTCCTCGCTTA